GGTTGGCGCAGGACAGAGCAGGGTTTAGGGCTGTTGTGCATAGGGTTGCTATGAGTCGCAAACGACTCGACGGCACATAACAACAATAAGAAATCAAACTTAACAGTCTATACAGTGATCCAAAGTTAATATTTCTAATTAATCAACTTTATAATTGCATGATTTATAACAGTTGATGGTTTCTGCTATTTTCAAGTTTTACAGAAAGTGGGAGGCCAAGGTAAGGAGGAAGAAAGCAAGTGAAGAAACCCCAGGGACATTTTGTGTGTCAAAATCATCCCACTGGAATCGTTTCTTACCCTCTTTTTTAACTTGCTCCTTTGTTAGGTGTAAAAATAAAGGAAAAATTCTTTCAAGAAACAGAAACCACTACATATGTATGTATGTATACATACAATCAATTTGGCAGCTGCCACTGTTTATTTTGAAAAAATAATTTCTTTCTACATCAACTAGTTATTTTAATACTTGACGTTTTATGCTCAGACTTACAAAATGGAAAATTTTCTGGTGCACAAAATGTTTATTTGAGGGTTGGAAGAGGGTTGGTTTTTTTTCTTCTTTTTCTTACATTTTCAAAAGAATCAAGATCTTTTCACCCAGAGAAGAGAAAACTGGTATTTTTATATTTATATATATGGAGAATATAATTTTTTAAAAATTTTATTTTATTATTTGTTGTATGTGTACCATCAAATCAGATCTGACTGGTACAAGAGAAGATTGTCCCTCCTTCTCCAGCAGAGCATCTGGTGGATTCAAACCGTGTACTTCTGTGATTGCAGTGCAGCTTCTTACCACTAGGCCACCAGAGCTCCCTGTAGAATGTAATTTTTAAAGTAACTTGAACAGTTTTCCTCTGGTATTAGAAATCTTTAATTTTTTTACTCTTCCATAAAGTGAGGAAAATAGGGAGAAATGTCAATCATCTATACCAGTAAATAATAACTATTAATATAGCGTGGCCATTGCAGGCCGTAGCCTCCTCCCAGCGTGCACTTGAACCACACACATAGGGGAAGGGTTGGTGGCTACCAGCCATAACATATATAGATTCGTTATATTTTCTCATCCCTCAGGTGCATCTTTTAGGTTTGGTTTAAACCACAAATGCCTACTGCACAGTTTTTAATGTGTTCCCAGGAAAATTATTTAAGCTAAAAAAGATACAAAAAAAATTGTTCTCAGTATAGAAAATAGAGAAAATAGGATCTGCTGGCCTTGAGGGTATGGGGATAGGGCATGGTTTGATAGCATGTGCTCATGGGATTCGGCTGAACATGGGACCCCATCTGCTGCTGGAGGAGTAACTGCTGATAAGCCTGCAGGCTGGCTCTAGCCATCAGTGCCCAATGCTGGGTGAAGCTGGCCATATTCCTTTGTTGCATCTGTTGCATCTGCTGTTGCTACTGCTGTGGAGGTTAGCTAACTCCCATGCGCTGCAGGAACGGTTATGGATAGCCATTCCAGAGCCTATGCCCGGCCCGGTTCCCTGCTGATGCATTATCTACTGTCATCTATAGATGTCTTTCAACTGTGAAGGCATGGTGTTCTGCTCCATGTCCATCTGTTCAGCCTGGGGAATCATTCCTCCCATGGGTGGCTGAAGCTGCTGTAGGAGCAGGCTGGCCTTCTACACGCCTGCTTGCATGGGGTTCAGTTTTGGCATGGCTGGGTTGGACTCTCGGCTGACCTGGCATGGTGGCTGGCCCTGTGGCATGCCTGGTTGCCCCGGGAGAGGTTGTGTATTTGAGCTGGCATACTTCGCAAACAGCGGCTTGATGAAAGCAGCCTACTGCTGTGGGGAGGGGGTTTTGGCGTGGAATATACTAAGCACCTGTTGCTGCTGCAGGGGAGAGCTGGGAGACCTGAGAGTCCGCAGGAGGCTTTATAAGGCATGTTGAGTCACAGTGCCTGGTTTCAGTGGGCCCACACCTACCTGGCCCAAACCTGGCGACGGAGGCATCTTCAAGCACTGACCATGCTGTCCGACCTACACCATGGCTGGCCTTGGTTTCCCAACTGTAGCTGCTGGGGCTGAGGTAATCTATCCCGGGGCCAGGTTGGCTGTTGTTGGTTTCCTGTGGGCCCCATTCCTGACTCCAAATGTCCACCAGGACCTCTGACCATGAGGGGTCGTTCATATCCAGGGGGGCACCTGGAGTCATCTAGGGTGTAGGCCTTTGAAAAATGTGCACGTAGGCCATCTAGTACTACATCTCAGCTGCCCTCTGAATCTGTATGGCCATCTGCACTGCTGCAGGTGTGGGTCCAGGGAGGGGGAGCTGAGCAATGTGAGGAGGGGTCAGAGGGGTCACCCGGCCAGACACCTTACCTTGAGACACAGGACCAGCAGCTTGTGTTTGAGGGAAGTAGGGAGGCATGCTGGTGGGAGGAGTAGGCTGTGGCTGAGACATTGGTAAGGGGCTATGGGATTTGTGGGGTGGTAGGTGTGGTGGACGTTGGGGATGGCCAACCTACTGCTGGCCCCCCACCCTGGACCACTGCATGCTTGCCATCTTCCTGCAAAGCACATGGGCCTGTTACAGATGGTGCTTCAGCAGCCATCGCAGCAGCCGCTGCCACTGGAGCTTCTGCTTGATTTCCAGGCAGTAGGGCACAGGGCACTTGTGTTCCTGGCAGTGCTTGGCATGGTAGCAGCAGAGGGTGATTAGCTGCCTGGAGGTGGAGCACCTACCAATGGTTTTCTGCTTGCAAGCCTTGATGTGCTGAACAACCTGCTTCATCTTCTGGCAAGAGGGCAGGGAGCAGTTGGCATTGGGGCACTGACAGGCGTGGGTCAGATGCTGGATGCAGCGCTGGATGGTCAGGCCATGTTTCTCTATCTTGTGGTTGTGGTTCTTAAATGTTTTAGCAGGTGATATGGAAGTTGTAGTCCTCACAGATAGTGCTGTGCCTGCTCGCCTGCAGGTGGTGCTCGCACTAGGTACAGGTGTGAATGAAGCAGCCATGGTTCTGGGTGTGCAGTAATCTGGCTTTTCACTGTCACAAACCTTGAGGGCCGCCAGCGGGAGGCCAGTGTGTGATGGCCAGCAGCCCACTCGCTTGTTACCGCAGTGGGTTAGATCTAGCATAGCCTGATTGCATTATTTTTTAAATAGACTAGTATCACTTTTTCAATAGTATATACCACCTGAATTTTAAAATCATCTTAAGATTCTGTTTGAAGCATTTAACACTCATGATCAAAGACCAGATGAGTTGTGGGATGAAATCAAGGACAAAACTAGGCTGCATTTTGCTTTGATTTGAAATTCTCTAAGAGCTAACAATCTTGAACATTTCTTCATGTATTTGTTGGAAATCTGAATGTCTTCTTTGGTAAACAATAAAGGCAAGGATTTTGAATCTTTATCTGATATACTTTGGACATATTGCAAGGAGGGACCAGTCCTTGGAGAGGGATGTCACGCTTGGGAGGGTGGAGGGAAAGTGCAGGGGAGAAAGACCCTTGATGAGATGGACTGATTCAGTGATTGAGGTAATAGGAGTAGGTGTGTCACAGACAGTGAGACTGGCACAGGTATAGAGAAGGGTATAGGGCTGTTGTCATAGGGTCGTTATGAGCCACAAGTGACTTGACAGCATATAACAACAACAAAATCTATGAAGAGAGCTAAAGTTCACTACAAAAAATAAAAGAGAAAAAGAAAATAAAAAATAAATACCAGAAGAGATGTTAAAAAAAATGCACTAGAGCATTGAGAAGCCAAAACAAAGGGAAGTGATATTGAAGTAAAAGAGCTGAACAGAAGATTCCAAAGTAAATCATCCGATAGACACATGGGCACAGGATATGAACAGACGCTTCACCGAAGAAGACATTCAGATAGCTAACAAGCATATGAAGAAATGTTCAAAATCCCTAGCTCTAATGCAAATTAAAACAACAATGAGATATCATCTCACCCCAGTCAGAACAGCAAAATTTAACAGAACAGCAAGCAAGAAATGCTGGCGGGGTTGTGGAGAGACTGGAACCCTTATTCACTGTTGGTAGGAGTGTAAAATGGTGCAACCACTGTGGAAGGCGGTATGGCACTTTCTCAAAAACTTGCAAATAGAGATAGCATTTGACCCAGCAATTTCACTACTGGGCATATACCCCAAAGAGACCATAACTGAAATCCAAGCAGATATATGCACGCCTATGTTTACTGCTGCTTTGTTCACAATAGCAAGGAGTTGGGAACAACCTAAGTGCCCATCAACAAATGAATGGATAGAGAAGCTGT